TGTAAATCAATGGATGTGTAACTGATGTGATTCTGCAATCTGTGTATGGGGTGAAGGTGGGAGTTCATAACCCACTTGAATCAAAGTGTGGAATATGATATGTCAAGAAATTTGTAATGTTTTGAACAACCCACAATAAAAAATTAAAAAATAAAAAAAATAATAAATAAAAATAAATTTCTTCTAAAAAAAATGGCAGGAGGGGTTTCATGAAAATAGCAGGGAGGCCAATAGAGTAGAGGAAGGGGATCCAGAGGTGGGAGGGAAAGAAGAGGTACTCAGGAATGTAATTGACCAAATTATGCTATGCATGTACGTAAATGTGAAGACAAAGCCCACTATTACATTCAATTATAATTCACCAATAAAAAATACTTCTAAGGAAAAGACATTCAATACAAATAGTAACCCAAAGAGCAGAAGTAGGTATATTTATATCAGACAAAATAGACTTTAAGTTTTAAAAAGGACACATATTAAACATAGCAAAAGTTTGATTAGTCAGATAACTTATGACAGAAGTTAGACTAAAGTATACCCCAGCATTATCTATGGGGGGAAAAACAGGTTTAAACAAAACTACCAGTGTAAACCTAAGTGGTGGGAGACATGTTTCAGCTAGAAATCAAACTATTTTCAATTGCTCTTAAAGCACTGTCATAATCCCATCCAGCTGAATTTAAATACAATTCTAATTACAAATATATTATTGTTATTTATTGTATGCTTTTCTCTCATAAAAGGAATCCAAAAAATATTTTACTACTTAGCAACACTTTACCAGAACCTAGAAATAGATAATAAAACAGGTTCTTCAGAGATCAATTTTATAATTCTAGATTTTTACTATTTTAGACTAAAATTCTTCCATACTCCAAATTTAAAGCAGTGGAAAGTTACACAATATTTAAATAGATACTAAATATAGTCAAAAGAGATTAGAAAATTTTGTTTAGTTTTCTTTGTAAACCAGGAATATATATAAAGAACTCATAAATTTCAATAAAGAGGCAATTCAATTAAAAATGGGAAAAGAATATGAAGTAAAATTTCTCCAAAACCATATATGAATGGCCAAAAAAATATGAAAGATGCTCTACATCCTTAGTTTTTGGGTAAATGCAAATCAGAACCATAATAAGATTGCATTTCACACCCACTAAGATGACTATAATCAAAATGAGGGACAACAGTTATTGTTAGTGTGTCTGTAAGGATATTGAGAAACCACAGCCTTTATAAATGGATGAGGAGAATGTTAAATGATACAGCCACTTTAATAACATTTGGTGGTTCTTCAAAAAGTTCTCTATCATATGACTCAGCAATTTCACTAGATATATATCTAAGAGAATTAAAACACATGCTCACATAAGAATTTTTACAAAAATATTCATAGCATTATTATTCATAATAATGAAAAAGTATTAAGAACCAAAATGTATATTAATTGATATATGGATAAACAAAACGTGATATATCCATCCAGTGGTATATCAATCAGCTGTAAAAAAGAAATGACATGCTACAGGGTGACAAACCTTGAAAACATTATTTGAATGAAAGAAGGCAGACACAAAAGGCCACAGAATATATGATTCTATTTATATGAAATGTTCATAATAGGCAAATCCATAGAGACAAAAGGTAGACCCATACTTTCCTGAGGATGGGGAAAAGGTAAGTAAAGGATTGGGCACTTGCTACCCAAAGGGTCTGAAATTTCTGTATGGTATAATGAAAATGTTATGAAATAAACAGTGGTAGTGTTTGTACAACTTTGTAAATATGATAAAGACTACTGAACACTTTAAAAGGTGAACCTTATGTTATGTGAAGTATATCTCAATAAAGTAGTTATTTAAAAATTGCAGGAGTCAGTAGCAGTGGCACAAGCCTATAATCCCAGCAACTCGAAAGGCTGAAGCTGCAAGTTCAAGGCCAACTTCAGCAACTTAGCAAGACCCCTCTCAAAACAAAACAAAAAAATTAAAAAGACTGAGGATGTACTTCAGTGGTTAATCACCCGAGGTAAAATCCTCAGTACCAAAAAAGTAAATAAATAAAACACAGGAAAAAAGAGTCTTTAAAAAAGAATTGTAAAAGGTCAGAATTAGTGAGACATTTTTTAAAATAAGAGTTTTACTCTTCTTTTATGAGCAACAATAATTTGTAATGTGTTTAGGGGAGGGGTCTTTTTGTTTATCTGAATTCAATTTATGTAACAAACTGCAAGAAGAAATCAGTGACCAGATATTTCTTCTCATTCCTTTTTTTCTTATTTAGCCAATTAATTCCTTCCTTGCTTGCTTTCTTCTCACTTTCTCCCTCACTCCCTCACTTCTTCCTTCCCCTCCTCTTTCCCTTGACTTTTTTCTTCCTTCTTTGATAAGAAAATGAGTTTTCTGAATATCCATAACACATACCTACTATTCCCTTGAACTTTGCATCTACAAATACATCTTTAAAGAAAAAAGAAAGAGAAGCGTAATTACTCAATAAAGACTATCTAAGAATGTCAAAGAACACTTACCTATGTCATTTAAGGTCCAATGTGTAATATCAGATGTAGCTACACCATCTTTATTTTCAGCTTCCACTTTAATGGTGAAGAAATCTGGGGGTGTTATAGTTGGACGGAAAAAAGAACACGAAGCACCTGTCGAACTATTGGCTTTACAAATGTCACGTTTTTTTCCAAAAGAGCTTTGAAGGAAAAAAAAATATTCAATGTGAGGTTAGTATAGTATTTTGGAAATGTAGTCATACTTAATATATTAAGCAGTATTTTTTAGTTTTACTCTGGGTTCCTCTTGAGGTCCAGGATGTTCTTTTCTTGGCTCAGGATTTGGTTTCCTTCTGCTTCAAAGAGAGGTCAAAGTTACCTGCTTATTTTCTCCTGAGATACTATGAGCCTTCGAGACCTCCTTGGAAACCCTGTGAGCCCACTTAAAAGCCAATCATAATGCTTTTCCTATTGGCAAGAAATAATGTATTGGCCTCTGAAATTCCAGATTATAATTTTGAGGCTTTATTATTTTTTAAAAGTCAAAGAGGATTTGTTAAATAAATTATGGTGGACATATAAGTAGGATTTTAACCAATGCTTTTTAATATATCTATATTTACTCATATGTAAAGATGGCTATATTCTGTTTTTGGTGAAAAAAAACCAGATGCATATCAAATTTGTAATGACCACAGTTGTATCAATATACATATTTATGTAACTATTCTAAAGATAGCTGGAAAGGCCCTAGTAAAAATGTTAAAGTTGTCACCTTTGAGTATGTGATTTTTTAACATTCTTTATGTTTCAAATTGGACTTTTATCACTAGCATATATTGTTTTCAGAAAACTCATTAAAACACATAGATGGCCAGGTGTAGCAGTACAAACTTGTAATCCTGGCCACTGGGGAGGTTTATATAGAAGGATCACAAGTTCAAAGCCAGCCTCAACAACTTATCAAGGCCCTAAGCAACTTAGCAAGACCCTATCTCAAAATAAAAAATAATGAGGGCTGGGGATGTGACTCAGGGGCTGAGTGCCCCTGGGTTTAACATAGATGATGATGATAGATAGATCCTATCAAGTTGTAACTTTTACCTATATTAGCAGGAATCAGATGGGTGAGTAGAACCATAGCAAACATGATTCTGGGAATTGCAAAGGAGATAGAGACAAACATAAAAGGAAGTTCAACATGTAATGTGCCAGCGTCTGCTGGGGTAAGAGAAAGGAAAAGAGCTTATTTTTTTGTGGTGCTGGGGATTGAACCCAAGGCCTTTTGTGATTGTGAGGCAAGCACTCTATCAACTGAGCTATATACATCCCCAGCCCAAATCATAGAATCTTGAAACCAGAAAGGATCTCAAGGATTTATGATAGTTGTTACACCATGAAAAATGTACCCTCAGGGTAGCATTGTAGATGCAGCCTCTGAAAGCAGATTGATCTCTGTCAAAACTACTAAACACTACTGCAGTAGCCCCCAAACTGCTGTAGACAATTTGTGATGAATGGGCAAGACTGGTTTCCAGTAAAACCTTACTTGTGGACACTGAAATTTGAATTTCATTATAATTTTCATATGACACCAAGTTTTCTTCTTATGATTTATGCTTTTGACCATTTTGACAACATAAAACAATTGTTAGCCTGTGGGCCATATAAATACAGGAGATGGGTTGTGTCTGACCTGCAGGCTAATTTCCCCACCTCTGCTGTACTGTCTGATCCTTTACAGAAAGTTTACTGAGTCCTGTTTGAAAGCATTGATCTGACATAGATGCTCATTGATACATTGATACTGCAAAAAAATAGTGTTTGCCTTTTCCCTTTCTTTGTAAAACAATAAAAGAATTTCCCTTTCAGGACAAGATCTTCTGCTTAAAAAAAAAAAAAAAAGTTTGGAACCATAGGCTCTCTTTTTAAAATGGAGAAGACAGTAGTTCATCTTGCAATGGTCCCAATATAAGTCCCTTTATTTTTAGGGGAACAAGAAGAAAATAATGTTTTATGAGCTATTTTCAACATTTTTTTAAAAGTACACATATAAAAACATCTAACTTTTGACTGGGATGATGATTTTTAATTATAGAAGTTTTATTCTAATAGAAACAGAATTAAAAGGGATGCTTTCAGTAGTAAAGAAAATTTGGGAATCATTGTCCTGGTGGAATTCTGTTTAGGGTTATACAATAAATTAGTGGCAGACTGAGGTAAATCCACCTCTCAGTGCTAGATCATAGCTCCACTTACTCTATCTTCATCCATGAAGAATGGACAGTTGTATAACATGCTGGAAGGACGAGGAGTATGTTGAATATAAGAAATAAATAGATTTTTCCACTCTGCTTGTAACTAATGACTACTCTCAGCCAATCCAGCAGCTCTAAGAGGAGGTCATTATGTGGCTCTATGTCCCCTCTCTGTGTAGCTGCAGATCCTGTCTGCATGGATGTAAGTATCCAAGATGTTACCCTAGCCACTGGATAGACAAAGTAGCCATACAGAAATTGTAACTGAGAAAATATTTTACTTCCTAAGTGACTTTGCTCATCAATGCATCAGGAGCCTCTACCTCTTCCCATGGCCCCCAGTGAAAGAACACACACTCCCATACTTACTAAGTTCTATTAACAACGTATGTGGTATAATTGATTTCCTTCTTTGGACTCCAAGTGCAAGTTAAATTTTTCTTATAATATAATATACAAGAAATGTTTTCAGGCTTTGCTGGCAGAGCTAAAAAAAATTTACATAGACACATTTTAGTAAACAATAAATATTGCCATCGTTAAAAATTTCATTGAAAACAGGCTTACCAAAAGCTGGATTTGTTGGTTTAGTTGCTAGATATAATAGGTTCTCCTAGTCAGATTCATGAAGGACTCTAATTTTAGCTCTTCTAATTTTTTTTATCATTCCCTTTGAAGAGTTAGAATTCTACTTTTTAATAATTATATTTTATATTCTTAAGAAACAACATTTGAGAAATAAAATTTATTTTTTAAAAAACAGGCAAATATTAAGCATTAGTTAAATACTAAGTAAAGCATTAAATTATACAATCATTCTGGATAATTGGGAAACAGATCATGTGAGAAAGTTCAAAATGCTGAACTATGCCACACTTCAACTGTAAGTTATTTATGCAAAAGATCCAATAATTGGGGATGGAGTAGTGGCTCAGTGGTAGAGCATTGCCTGACATGTGTGAGGCACTGGCTTCAATTCTCAGCATTGCATATAAATAAATAAAATAAAGGTCCATTGACAACTAAAAAATATTTTTTAAAAAGATCCAATTATTTTCTTTTCCCAGAATATAGTATAATAGAGAAATATCTTCAGCTGCATTTTCATATCTTGTTCCAGATAGTTCCCCACCCAGGAGAATAACCCAGGAATCAGAACCAGGATCTAAACACTTATGGAGTCCATAGGTAGAATTCAGGGGTCCAGGAACTTTAATGGGAAAATATCTACATCTTTATTTTTCACTAATCTATTGTTGAAACTTAGAATTTCCTTCTATCATGAATGTAGTCAATAAACTACAATAATAATATATAATCATTATTATGTGTTTTGTTTAGGCTCTTAAAATTTTTTAAAAGGCTCTAGATATGTGTATTTGCATATATATTTATATATTTAATCTAAAAAATGAGCATTGTCCGCATGAGTAAAGGAGCCCCTAAAAATAACAAATAGGAATAAGGAAGAGCCATATGCCTTCATATTATGTCAATATTTCTAGCTCTTTCCAGAGAAGTTGCTTCCTCTAAGTCCTTCACTTTGCTACTTGCATACCGAAAACCACAAGAAAACTTTTGATCTCCAAGTCCAAATGCTTATCAAGACCGAAATTAATGGAACCTGAACCAAATAATACAGTTTATTACATGGAGACTAGAAGCTGCACCATTAACACATTCCACAAAGGGCCCACATAGTTTAAAACTTTTCCTGTGGAGTCCTTAGGTGGGTAAGAATATTCACAGACTCAACACTTCATAGCTGCCATGGGGAACATGCAAAGTCTAGAATAAGGAGAACTAAGGGCCAGTCAACCATGTCTTGAGAGTCTGGCACACTGACCAAGTCACTCCTATCTCCATGGCTCAGAGAGAATGTCAGTATGTGAATGTATGTGCATGTGTGTGTGTGCTATGTGTGATCTCACTCAGATGTGAAATCTAAAAACGATGATCTCACAAAAGTAGAGCGCATAATGGTGGTTACCAGGTGCTTGGGTGGTTAGAAGAAATGGGAGATGAGAAAATATTGGTCAAAGAATATAGAATTATAGATAGAAGTTATATTTTTTTAATGTCCAGAGTAGGCACATAAATAGGGACAGAAAAGAGGCAAGCAATTTCCTTGGGCTGAAAGAGGGAAGATATTTGGGGAAGAAGGAGAGAAATAGTGAATGACTATTAACTGTCATAAAGTTTCTCTTTTGGGTCATGAAAACTATAATAATAGCTGCACAATTCTGTAAGCATAACAATTACCAGTGTCTTAGAAACTTTCTTTTTTTGTTTGTTTTTAAATTTTTTTTTAATTGTAGATGGACACAATACATTTATTTATTTATTTATTTATTTATTTATTTATTTATTTATATGTGGTGCTGAGGATCAAACCTAGTACCTCATGCATGCTAGGCAATAGCTCTACCACTGAGCTATAGCCCTAGCCTGGATTGAATATTTTCAATGGATACATAATATCATATATGAATTTGATCTCAATTGTTTTTAAAGAATCTAATTCATATAGTATATAAAAGAAGCAGCTTTGGTTAACATATATTCAAAGTCATAAGCCATAAAGTATGTCACATATCTGGTCTTCAGGACTAAAAATGTCACGGGTATTAGGAGAAAAGAAAAAAAGTAACAAAAAAAAATGGAAATCCATTCAACCTGGGTTGTTTATATGGGGCTACAGTTGTTTTGCCCTAACTGCTTGCTATGTAGCAAGAGAGACCAATAGTCTAAAGAAGGACATTTGATACTGGTATTAGAAATTTGTGCTAAATAAAATGAATACTCATCAATATGTTCAATGTTCATCAATATGTCCTTCTCTTTGACATATAGGAAGATTTTATTTCCTTGGTGCTTTGAACTCACGCATGGGCATGCGACTCGTCTTGACCATTGACATATGAGAAGAAGTATTTAAACTCTGGAAAATAATGCCTTCCCTACCCTCCCACAGCCCAACATGTATTGATTCTTAATTTTTCAACATAAAATGGAATGAAACTAACAGATCTTAGATCTGCACAATATTCTATGGATATTAGGCCCGTAGTGTTGGGTTGGTACATTGTAGAAATATGCTGTTGCTTCATTTCCCTTTATATCCTTTGAATTTATGGCAAAAAATGTAAAAATTGTCTATTTTTGTATTTACGTGTGTGTGTCTGTGTGTGTGTGTTATATAAAGCCACTGCAATCAACACAAAAACTGAGGAGACAAGCTCTTACCATCATACTCTCACAGTGATCTTAACTTTTTGGAGGTCATATAAGCCATCTTGCCAAACTTGCTTATATAGGGGTATATATAAACTTGCAAGTACAGATGTGCTTGTACACACACACACACACACACACACGCACAACATACACAAATTCAGGGCATTCACAAATTTCCTATTGTCTATTAGTGGGTGTCTTTTGGCACTGAAGTTAAAAATTCTTTTCCAAAGAAGGCAATAGGATAACCACAAGATCCATAAAAGGGTCAGGCTGACCTACCTGTCAGGCTGAATTTGTAGAGTAAAGGAAGTATCCATAGTGCCAAGATCCACATTTTTCCTGAATTAGCTCACGAAGGCTGGAGAGAGAGAGAGAGAGAGAGAGAGAGAGCTGAAAATGTCACCAGAGAGATTATTTCCTAACTCTTTCCAACAACCCCTTTCAAGTGACAAACAGATACTTGGGATTTTGCAGGTAGGAAGGGTTTTATTTTTATTCAATTTTATTCTGTTTTGTTGGCTGTGATAACATAAATCTCTTCATAATCACTCCATCAATCCCAGATGTTATCACACAAATGTGTGATAACAATATATTTTCCTTTAGTCCATACTGCACTCTACTATGTAATATGAAAACTATAACAACCACCAAGAATCTGCTTCATGAAAAAAAAATACTATGTTTCTGTTCTACTCTGAAATCATCCTCTGGCCTTTGCCTCAGTTCCCAAGTATTCCAGCCAAATGGAACAACTCAGTTTCCCAAAAGCACCATACTTGTCACATATCCATGCTTTGTACATTCATCCAATGCCCCTTTCCCTTTGTGATATTATGATATATATATATATATATATATATATATATATATATATATATATATATTTTTTTTTTTTTTTTTTTTTTTTTTTTTTGGTCTTCATCAAAACTGCCTCCCAAGACAGGTCATAGAAACTAGAATTTCTCTTTTCCAAGTTGGGTCATAGAAACTCAAACCTTCTTCTGCTTTTGTCTTGGAGCTGGACATAATGAAATTCTCTAACCTATTCAATAGACCATAGGACTCCCTTCATCCACAGGGATCCTTCCCCATATTCTTGAGGAAAAAAACACTACACATACAGGTTTTGTTGTTTTTTTCCAGTCTATTAGAAATCATGCCTATGCAATTAAGTCTCCATAAAAATCAAAAGGACAGGGGTCCAGGAGCTTCCAGATAGCTAAACAGGTGGACATTCCTGAAGAGTGGTGGAAGTTCTGCACCCCTCCCCCAATATTTGTATTCTTTGTATTATTATTTATAATATTGTATATATAATATAACCTTGTATATATACATAATATTGTATGTAATATATGTATTATTCCTTATAATAAACCTGTTTCCCTGGGTTCTGTGAGCCATTTAAACAAATTAATTGAATCCAAGTAGGAAGTTGTAAACTCCAACTTCTAGCCAGTCAATCAGAAGCACAGAAAAAACAACCTAGGTTTTATCATGGCATCTAAAATTGGGGAGAGGGATTTTTGGAGACTGAGCCTCCAACATGTGGGATCTATTGCTACCTCCAACAGAATATAATTGGATTACAGGACACCCTGCCATATCTGCTGCTGCAGAACTAATTGTTTGCTTGCTGGTAGGAGAAATCCCTACCCACCTGATGTCAGAAGCATTATGTGATGATTATGGTATGAGATTAGAAGAAAATCAAGACATTTTGTTTTTCCTGACACACACCCTTATTCCTGGGCAAATATCTTCCAAACTCATCTCAAAGCTAACCTTCTCTAAAATGTTGTCCCTGAATTCTCACACAGAGCTGAGCAGTCAATCCGTCCTTTGAGTCACCCCTTCCAACATGTCGTCTGTGCTATGGCACCTGTCACAGAGAATACTGTGTAATAGTTTACTTGCTAACTTCCCTATATACAGCCAGTTTTGTGAAAGTGAAATCTCTCTGATGCCTCTCTGAGGCCTTGTTATTCAAGGTAATGTCTGTAACATGTTAGACATTCAATTTTGCTTGTGTATCCTAGGGGTTTATTAGGACAAAAAGATTCCTGGCTCCTTGTCTTATCCTAGATGAGATGGTGACAGAGTCTAAAAATAAAAGAAATGCAAAAACAGTAACTCATTGTTTCAGAAGAAATGAATGATGCTACATTTTCATTTGACACATCCATAAGAAAAAAGGGTTTTCAATAAAATAAATCATTTCAGAAAAGGTCACATGCAGTTTTTACAAAGATAAAATTTTCCCATATATGAACCAACTGAAATATATAAGTAATCCAACATGCCTGAAGTAATAAAGCAGAATGAGAATGTAGATCTATAAATATAAATATATCATCAATAAAAACTGGTCACAGGCTTCCAGGTAAGAGGTGGAATAAAAGTGTCTTTTATGTGATTTACAAGAGTCAGGGCGACAAAAGAGAAATTATATTTTCAGAAGAAAAAGAGAGGAAGGGCCCTGAGAATGAAGAAAGAGGTAATGGGAAAACTAAAAAGTAGAGAAAAGCAAAAAGGCAACTCAGAGAAAGCATAAAGCAGTCCATGACCCTAACCCTGGCCCCCTGTAGGGAGGGAAACCTGATGATGCTACAAGTACGAGTTATTGTTACCATGGTTTGTTTTCTCCTGAGTTGTACTGGGGACCAAGCCGTCAAGTAAAGGATGCTAAGATGATCCTAACATAAAAGCGGAAGAGAGAACCATCTCAAAAGATGCACAAATCTTAATACAGAAACACAAGAAACACACACAAAAAAATGAAAAAACAAGGCAATATAACTCTTCCAAAGGTTCATAACTCTTCAGTAACTGAATCCAAAGACATCAAAGTAGATAAAATGCCCAAGAATTCAAAAGATTGATTTTTAAAATGATCAATGACATCAAAGAAGATACAAATAAACAACTGATGAATTAAGGAAGAGAATACAAGATATGAGAAAACAATTCAATAGAGATGACGATTCTGAAAATAAACTAGTCATAAATCTTAAGGAAACAAAAAACTCAACTGCAAACCTCACCAATTATTTTGGTTTAGTTATGAGGAGTCCCCCAGAAACTCGTGTGTGAAAAATGCAGAAATATTCAGAGGTGAATTGATTAGATTATGAGAGCTGTGACCTAATATGTGGATTAATTAATTAGATGGATTAATGATTTGAATGAATCAATGGGTGATAATTATAAGCAAGTAGGGCATGAATGATGGAACTAAATCACAGGAGGTTTCCCTTGGGAATTTATTATCCCTGACTCCTTGCACTCAAGATCTCTGTTTGCTGGCTGTCATGAATTGAGTAGTTTTTCTCTGTCATGCCCTTCTGCATGATGTTTTGCCTCACCTTAGGCCCAGAACTATGCAGTTGACCAACTATGAAGCGAACCTCTTAAATTGTGAGCCAAAATAAACTTTTCCTCCTTGTCAGGTCTTTTGGTCACAGTGATAAAAAGCTGACTAACATTTCTCTCTCTCTCTCTCTCTCTCTCTCTCTTTTCCCCTTCACACCAATGTGATATGCAATCTGTAAATATGGAAAAATAAGAATTCATACCCCATTTGAATCAAATGTATGATATGTCAAGATCATTGTAATGTTTTGAGCAACTAATAAAAAAAATTTTTTTAAAAAGCTAACTAACATACCAATAGACTAAATCAAGCAGAAGAAAGAATATCAAGATTTGAAGACAAAGATTACAAATTATCACATTCAGAGAGTTTTAAAGGGAAAAAAGAAATCACAAACAGGGCAAACAATACCTGTGGGACAAAATTTAAAGACCAAACCTAAATAAATGGTTTAGACAAAGGAGCCAAGGTATAGACTAAAGGCATAGAAAATCTATTCCATAAAATAACAGGAGAAAATCTCCTTAATCTTAGGAGATGCTTACATCAAAGTAAAGGATTCATTTAGATAATGACCAGAAAATAACCTCTCCATGTCATATTGTAGTTAAATTGCCAAAAGTACACAACAAAGAAAGAATATTGAAAGATGAAAGAGAGAGGTGCCAAGTCATTTATTAAGGCATATCCATTATATTAACATCATATTTCTCACCAGAAATTCTAAAAGCCAGGAGGGTGTGAAGTACTATAATTCAAATCCTACAAACAAAACAAACTGCTAATCTTCCAGCAATCTTTCAGAATTGAAAGTGAAATAAAACCTTCCAAGATTAGAACTAAAGGAATTAATGATCACTAAATCAGAATTACAGAAGATACTTAAGGGAATCCTATACATAAAGGATAAAGCAAGACAAACACAATCATAAAAGCATGGGAAAGAATAAATCTTACTAGAAAAGTTTACAATCAAATGAGAATTAAGAATCAAACAAGATTTGCATTGTTGGTGGGACTTCAAATTAGTGTGAACACTTTGGAAAGCAATATGGAGATTCCTCAAAAAATTGGGAATGGAACCACCATGGGGCCCACCATATGGCCCACTTCTTGGTATATATCCAGAGGATTTCAAACCAGCATACTACAATGACACAGTCACATCAATGTTTATAGCAGCACAGTTCACAACAACCAAGCTATGGAGCAAAATGAGGTGCCTTTGAACAGATGAATGGATGATGGAAATGTGGCATATGCACAATGGAGTATTACTTAGCCATAAATAAGAATGACTTTATGGCATTTGCCCATAAATGTACGGAACTGGAGACTACCATGCTAAGTAAAATAAGCCAGTTCCAAAAGAATCAAAGGTCAAAGATTTTCTCTGACATGTGAAAGATAATTCCAAATATTGGGAGGGGGATAAAAAAAGAATAAAAGAAAGATCAGTGGACAAAGGAATAAACAAAGGGGAATGAAGGAAAAGGAAGAGGGATGGATAAGGCAAGACAATGCAATGAATCTGACCTAACTTTCCTATGTATATATATTAATATACCACAGTGAATCTCACCATCATGTACATCCACAAGACACTAATTTTTTTAAAAAAACTATGAGTAAATAGCAGAAAGAACTGTAAGTAGAGGGAAGAGAACAGGGGATGAGAGAATGGGTAGGGAAGGGGAAGTACTGGGAACTCAATTATAACAAATTATATTCCATTATTTTATAATTACATCAAAATGAATTCTACTCTCATGCATACATAATTTAAAAAACAATAAAGAGAATCAAATATGGCAATATAACTCAACCATGATTAATTCAGTAAACCATAAAAATGAGAAGAAGAGGAGAGAAAGAAATGAACTTAAATCATTAAAAACAACCAGAAGAAAAACAACAAACTGACAGGACAAGTCAATAACCCTAAATGAAAATGGCCTGAATTCTCTAATTAATAAACACAGACTAACTGATTG